GTACAGAGCAGGATGTGTGTGCATTTTAAAAGGATAACAAATGAGAATCCCTATGAGGGTGATGGTTTATACATAGAAAATTTCTGGAAGGACACACAAGAACTGGCAACAAGGTTCCCTCTGCAGAGGGAAACTGGGTGGTGGGGACCAAAGGAGGAGCGACTTTGCACTGTCAGTCCTTTTGGAATTTTGAATTTTGAAGCATGTGAGTGCATTAGCCATTCAAAATATAAATCATGCCTTCAAAAATAAATTCTTATTTCTGTACACTTAAAAAATATCCATTTTATGATTAGCCTCTCCTGGTCCAGACTGAGCTTCAAATGGGCTTTTGGCTCCATGTAAAGTTTCTAGGGGTAGAAATGGCATCTAGGAATACTCAGAAGCTGGGTCCTCATGTCTTCAGTGAGTTAAGACCCCCCGGGGTTCCCAAGCCCACCCCAAAAGTAAGGGAAGGGGGAGACCGAGGGACTGCATTAGCACCTGCCCATCCATGGCTTTGGAACAGCTATGAAGTCCTTGTGGGCAGGTAAGTCCTCATTACATTCTGCTCCACATCCAACTGAGGCTGGCAGAGAGGTGGGAGTGGGTGGGTGTGAATGGGCAGAGAAGGGTCCTGGCGTTGGGGTCACTACTTCCTCTCATGGAGAGGGGAAGGTTGAACATGCTATATCCTCCCGACAGCCGTTGTCAAATGCCTGCCTCCTCCCCTAGGAATTCTGACTCTGCTGGTACCCAAAGTGTTCAGAATTCCACCAAGGGAAGATTCTCCCCATCACTGAGCACCTACTGTATACCTGTGACAGGTGCTTTCCCTCTCGATGGCACAGGAGCCTAGGGCAGCCAGGACCTCGATCTCACATGCCACACTCCTTGAGGGGGGCACCATGCTGGCACTTGCCCCTGGGAGAGCAGGCACTCAGACTGGCCCTGTCTCCAGTGTCCCTGGCTGGAGTCCCCTTCCCACTCCCAGGACCTAGTCAGTCCTGATGCTGGAGTGCCTGCAGCCCCCAGTGGGCCCGGCAGCGTCACAGACACCCATGGCGGGGAGCAGGAGCTCCGCTGCCAGGAGACTGTCTCCCTGGATTCTGACTCTCTGAGGTGGCAACAATGTGGAGGAAGGAGGGTGCCGCCCACCCCCTCCCGGAGCTGGGATGGTTGGTGCTGGGCTACTGGAAGTGGGATAAAGGCCCTCTGCCAGGCCTGGTCACTAGGGACCAACTGGTGTACAGTGACCCCTTCCTGGCCCTGTTGCTCCGAGAGGCACTGAAGGTAGGGTTCTCCCTAGGGATAAGGGGCTCAGGGGACAGGTTTTCCTGCACTGCCAACACCGGGGGCCTTCACTTGACTTCACAAGTGGGAAACTTACCACAAAATGTAGTTATAGATTCATTGTGTGCCGAACCTCACAGATTACCATTATAAACTTCGGGAGAAGCGGGGATGGATATCTTCATTTTGCAGAAACTGGGGCTCAGGGAGATGGGGACTTGCCCTGAAGCCACATAGCTGACCCCAAAGCCCCAAACCTCGTCACTGACCTCCCCACACTGACACACATACCACTGCCTCCTTCCCCCAGGCCTCCATATGTGCTTGTATGCCATGGATCAGCTCAGGCAGGGGGCATTGGAGCTCAGGCATAGGGCATTGGAGCCCAGGCAGACATAGGGGAAAGAGCCCTCCAGGAAGTGTGCACAGCTTAAGCAAAAGCACAGAGGTGGGACCATTCAGCAGGGAAGTGTGAAACTGAAGCGTGAGAGTGAGAGGTGAGCTGAGGCTCCAAAGTGTGGAGGGCCACCTTGGGGAATGGAAGGTTAGTCAGGAAGGATGCGGTTTGAATGCCAGGAGGGATGCCTATTCAGGGAGCCGTAGGGCAGCACCCGAGGCTTCTGGCTGCAGGACTGGCAAGATGAGAGGCATCTTCCCAGAAGACGATGAGCAGGGCAGCAGCGAGGCACCAGCTCAGGCGAAGAAGCCCCGGGGCAGGTGCAGAAGGTGGTAGTTCAAATAGGCTTTTGGAGTCAGGATGGTTGGATTGAAGCCCAGCTGCTTACCAGTGCTGTGACCTTGGGCCAGTTACTTAACCCATCTGGGACTAAGTCATCTTATCTATAAAATGGATATGACAATGATGACAACAATACAGGTTGAATATCTCTTATCAGAAATACTTAGAGCCAGGCATCATGGCTCACACTTGTCATCCCAACATTTTGAGAGGCTGAGGTGGGAGCCCACTTTTACAAAAATTTAAAAATTAGCTGGGGGTGGTGGTGCACACCTGTAGTCCCAGCTACTCAGGAGGCTGAGGCAGGAGGATCACTTCAATCCAGAAGGTTGAGGCTGCAGTGAGTTATGATTGCACCTCTGCACTCCAGCCTGGGTGACAGAGTGATACCCTGTCTCAAAAAAATAAAAAAAGAAAAGAAAAGAAAACAGGCTCACGGCTGTAATCCCAGCATTTTGGGAGGCCAAGGTGGGTGGATCACCTGAGGTCAGGAATTCAAGACCAGCTTGGCCAACATGGGGAAACCCCATCTCTACTAAAAATACAAAAATTTGCCAGATGTGGTGACAGGCGCTTGTCATCCCAGCTCCTTGGGAGGCTGAGGCAGGAGAATCGCTTGAACCCGGGAGGCAGAAGTTGCAGTGAGCCAAGATTGCACCACTGCACTCCAGCCTGGGCAACAAAGCCAGACTCTGTCTCAAAAAACAAACAGGCTGGGCGAGGTGGCTCATGGCTATAATCCCAGCACTTTGAGAGGCCGAGGCAGGCGGATCACGAGGTCAGGAGATCTAGACCATCCTGGCTAACACGGTGAAACCCTGTGCCTACTAAAAATATAAAAAATTAGCCGGGCGTGGTGGCAGGCGCCTGTAGTACCAGCTACTCAGGAGACTGAGGCAGAAGAATGGCGTGAATCCAGGAGGCGGAGCTTGCAGTGAGCCGAGATCACACCACTGCACTCCAGCCTGGGCGACAGAGTGAGACTCCGTCCCAAAACAAAACAAAACAAAACAAAAAAAGGGGCTGGGTGCAGCGACTCATGCCTATAATCCCAGCACTTTGGGAGGCCAAGGCAGGTGGATCACCTGAGGTCAGGAGTTCGAAACCATCCTGACCAACATGGAGAAACCCTGTCTTTACTAAAAATACAAAATTAGCCAGGCATGGTGGTGCATGCCTGTAATCCCAGCTACTGGGGAGACTGAGGCAGCAGAATTGCTTGAAGCTTGAATCTGGGAGGCGGAGGTTGCGGTGAGCTGAGACAGCACCATTGCACTCCAGCCTGGGCAATAACGGCAAAACTCCATCTCAGAAAAACAAACAAACAAAAAAACCGAAAACAAGTTTTGGGTTTCAGATTTTGGAATATTTATATTATTCTTATCTGTTGAGCGTCCCAAATCTGAAATCCAAAAGGCTCCAATGAGCATGTCCTTTTAGCATCAGTCATGTGGGTACTCAAAAAGTTTTGAATTTTGGAGCATTTTGGATTTCAGCTTTGGGGGTTCAGGATGCTCAATCTGTTCACGCATGGGGCTGCTGGGAAGACAAAGTGGATAGACACACGTCCAGCACTCAGTGCCTGTTAGGACATAGTAAGTGTCCATCAGTCTCTGCGATTCGGTACTCGGAATCATTACTACCCCAACACCCAGCCCCGCCTCCCAGCCCTGGGCTGCTGGGACAGATTGTTTCTGTTTCCTGCTCTGAGAGGGAGCAGAGGGGATGACATGGGCCAGTGGGGAAGGAGGATCCTCCTCCCTTGGAGATTGACATGTCCCTGGCCCAGACCTACAGGAACCTCACTGGTTTTAGAGCCCTGGTAGGTGACCAGAGAGACAAGGACTGGCCCTGGAGGCTGAATCCCTGCCACACCTGTCTTTGCCCCAATTCTAGGTGGGTGGGGAACTATACACTTGTTTCCCTAGTCAGGGATCACTGTGTCCACTTATCGAGGCCCCACGTCAGACTCCTGTGTCCCCCTGACACACCTGGGAAGAGGAGCGGGTGGGGTGATGTCTGGGCCATGGGCTGGTAGGCACACCCCAGCAGCTCTAATGAGGTGTGTGAAGGCCACAGAGGCTGCCTTGGCAGCGGTGCGGTCAATAAGAGGGCAGGGGAGAGGCGGGCCTGGCGTGATGGCCATGGCAGCCGTGGGCGATCAGCCCTTCGCCGACGGTTGCTCGGGTGAGCAAGTGCGCTCCAAGCCATTCGACTATAATAACCCTAATCTGCTCATTACCACTCCCGGAGCTGACGGGTGACTCAGGCATGAGCTGCCAAGGGTTTCTGCCTTCGTAACCCCCATTCCACCCTCCCCCCTCACATCTGTGCAACAGCTGGGCTCCAGGACAGCCAGTTCCCAGCAGACTCTGGCACCATCTGCTTCTCCTGTGGGAGTCAGGCTCCGCAGAGGGTGTGCTCAGGGAGCCTCCTAGAAGAGTGGAGCTAAGGGACACCTGGTCTAGTGTTAGGGAGCTCTGTTCTCACTCTGCTCCCCAGAGGGGGTGCAGGGGTCCAGGCTGGGGGCTCAGGAGGCTTAAGTCCTGATGGATGTTAAATGACTTGTTTCCCTAACGCCTGAGACTCTAGGTCTCCCCATCTGCATGATGGAAGGGCTGTCTGGCTCCCTCTCCACTTCTCCAGCCAACCAGACCTATTGCCAGACAGTGTTTTTCCCATCTGAGGGCTGGGGCGCCTGTGTGTTGTGTGTTGGGGTGTGGGGTGCATTAGAGGACAGCTGAACTGCTGACTTCTATGGAGTGTGGACAGGGTACAGTAGAAGGGGAAAAGGCAGAGGCATCGCCTCCTAGTACCTTTTGCCCCACCCAGCCCCAGGCTGCCTATCAATTTGGGGATTTTCAATCCCCCTCTCCTGCTCCTGCTGGCTTTTGAGACTTGTTCTGCATGGCTGCCCCTTCCTAGAACTGGGAGGACCATCAGGATCGTTGGTAGTGACAATAGAAGCTAAGCCTTACTCAGCACCCACCTTGAACCCTTAGAAGGCATTGTGTTGGCGGTCACAGCAATCCAGCTAGGTTGGCGCTATCATCCCAGTTCCCAGATGAGAGACCTGAGGCACAAAGGGGTTACAGAAGGTCACACCACTAGCAAATGGCAGCTCTGGGGTATGAACCACAATGCATGTGACTCTGGGTCTCCTCACAGAACCACAGAGCCACACGTGGCCCCAGTGTACAGTTGGAGACGGAAGACTTCCCTTCTAAAGAAGGAACACACTGAGACTGGAAAACCTGGCTGCCCCACATGACTTTGTGCCCACCTGGCATGCAGTAGACACTCAGCAATTGCTCAGGGCCTAAAGAACTCATCAGACAAACTGCTTAAATCGGAACTGCTCTGGTGGAAGCAAAGATGGGGTCCCGCCGGGCGTGGTGGCTCACGCCTGTAATCCCAGCACTTTGGGAGGCCGAGGCAGGCAGATTACGAGGTCAAGAGATCGAGACCATCCTGGCTAACACAGTGAAATCCCATCTCTACTAAAAATACAAAAAATTAGCCAGGCATGGTGGCAGGCGCCTGTAGTCCGAGCTACTCAGGAGGCTGAGGCAGGAGAATGGCGTGAACTCGGGAGGCGGAGCTTGCAGTGAGTGGAGATCATGCCACTGCACTCCAGCCTGGGCGACAGAGTGAGACTCCGTCTCAAAAAAAAAAAAAAAAAGATGGGGTCCCATAAACCTCCCTCCCAGCCTCTCATTTTCAGAGAATGAAATTGAAGTTGAGAGGGGGAAGGGACTCCCAGGGCCACTCATCAAGTTGGTGGCAGAGTCAAGACTAGAACTCATGTGGTGGGATGTCCCCAGGGGAGCAAGCCGGGAGAGGTCAGGAGCAGGTGGAGGGCTCTCTCCCCTCCCAGAGTGGGTTGGGTTACGCCCCTGCCCCTTTCCTCGAGCTGAGCCAGAGAGACAGGGGAAGAGGCCTGGAGATGCGGCCTGGGCTGAGCCATCTGAGCACCCAATGGGCAAGTGCACTGGGCTCCACGGGCTCCCACCAGCCAGTGCCCTACATGGTCCTCTTGATGGCCTAGTCCAGGGACAGCCCATGTGTGTGTAGTGCAGAGCCACCTCGTTCCCCACTGTTGACACACCCGACTCCCTTATTCCATCAGTAAACACTGGGCCTGGAGAGACAGTCCAATTGGCTGGCAGTGTCCTCCTCCCAGCTCCACTCCTTGCCTAAACAGACAGCTCTGTTTGTCCTCCCTGCCCAGCCACCAGAACTTCATTGCCACCCAGATCCCTGCCCTGTAAGCAACTCACCTCCTCTCACTCCCACAGAATACCCGTGTCAGAGCTGGAGAGGCCGATGGGAAACTTTTAGGACAACCTCTAACCCCCTACCCAAGCAACACCACCTCCACCTCTTTTTTTTTTTTTTTTTTTTTGAGACAGAGTCTCACTCTGTTGCCCAGGTTAGATAGAGTCAGTGGAGTGATCTTTGGCTCACTGCAACCTCCACCTCCTGGGTTCAAGCGATTCTCCTGCATCAGCCTCCCAAGTAGCTGGGATTACAGGTGGCATGCCACCACTCCTAAGCTAATTTTTTTTTTTTTTTTTTTTTTGAGACGGAGTCTCGCTCTTGTTGCCCAGGCGGAGTGCAGTGGGCCGGATCTCAGCTCACTGCAAGCCTCCGCCTCCCCGGGTTCACGGCCATTCTCCTGCCCAGGCCTCCTGAGTAGCTGGGACTACAGGCGCCCCGCACCGCGCCCGGCTAGTTTTTTGTATTTTTTAGTAAGAGACGGGGTTTCACCGTGTTCGCCAGGATGGTCTCGATCTCCTGACCTCGTGATCCGCCCGCTCGGCTCCCAAAGTGCTGGGATTACAGGCTTGAGCCACCGCGCCCGGCCGCTAATTTTTATATTTTTAGTAGAGACGGGGTTTCGCCACGTTGGCCAGGCTGGTCTCGAACACCTGACCTCAGCTGATCTGCCCACCTCGGCCTCCCGACCTCAGGTGATCCACCCGCTTCAGCCTCCCAAAGTGCTGGCATTACAGGCGTAAGCCACCACGCCTGGCTACCACCTCCACTTTTACAAATGACAAAACAGAGACCCCAGAGGGGAGGCGTGGCAAGAGCCATGTAGAACAGGAAGGCAGGCCTCACCTCCAACCACTCACTGCTGGGCGTGGCCTCTGTGTCTTGGCATGTGCTGTTCCTTCTGCTAGGACAGCCCTTCCTCGATGAAGCCTCAGCCCATTGAATGAATGACAACTTTGGCTGTACCCACACAGCTGTCTCTATTGTGCCTCATGATGCCCGGCCCCCTTTCCATCACCCTGCAAGCTTCTGAAGCCCGAGACCTGGGTTGGTTCATTGCAGATCCCCCAGCTCCCAAACCAAGGTGCCCAGAGTGAGCTACTGACAAAGGCTTGGACATGAATGAATCGGTGGGCTTGAACCAGAACAAATTCTCTCAATCCTGGCCCAGCTTGGACCCCCAAATTCCAATCCCTGTTCTCCTAGGCCAAAGCTATTCTGAGAGATCTTTCAGGCCCCTGTTTCCAGATCCCAGCGGGCTTTGAAGACATGGTCTCCCTTGCTTCCCCTGGGCCTGGGCCCCGCCTGGGCAAAGCCTTCTCTCAGTTGTTGTGGGTGAATCATTGGCAGGCTGTAAACAGCTCTATGGAGCACTGGCTGTACCACCAAGGCCCTGGCACTGATCCTAGCCGCGCCAGGGGGATCTAAAAGAAGACATGGCTCCCACGCACCCACGATGGAAAGGAGAAGGTGGAATAGAAACAGGGGGGAGGCTTCCAGATTTGCATACCAACACGTGCACAGGAGTCTGTAATGCAGCCCAGCCTAGGAGGGGACAAAACAGAACCTGGAGGACGAGAAGGGGATGAATCAGAAAGCCTTCCAAGAGGAAGGGACCTGCAGCGAGGAGGTGGGGTGGCTTCTGGGAGTTTAGAAACCACCAGTATTTACTGAGCACCTACTATGCAACAGGCACTGCTCCAGGGCTACAGGTACTGCCATGAACAAAACAAAGACCCTATGCCGCGCAGGACAGAAAAGCAGAGCAGGGCCAGGGTGTGGGCAGCTGCCTTATGTATCATTTGCAAGATTCTGTAGCAGGCCAAGAGCTTGGAGACTTTTCCAGCCACTTAACAGATGAGGAAACCGAGACCCAGAGAGGGCTGAGGAGTTGCCTGGAGTCGCACAGGAAGACAGGGCAGAGGCAGACCCCAGGCCCTGCGTGTGGGCTCAGAGGTGAGGATGCCTCTTTGGCCTTCAGAAACGACAGGCTTTGACCTTCAGGAAAGCCCTGAGCTCAGTCCTTCCCCATGTGGCCCAGGTGGGGCCTCATTTCCACGGTAGGTAGTTGGGGGCTGGCTGAGGGAAGGACCCCTCCCCTCCTGCCCCCCAACTAGGGGTCCCAGGGCACTCAGAGAAACAGCAGAGGCTTGTGAGGAAAGCCAAACTCGAGTCACTCAGCGGTGGGTTCCCCAGGGCTACACCTCCTCGCCTCCCCGTCTGTAGATGGGCAGCTCTGACTCCGGGCTTTTGGCCTTTCCAAGACCAAAAATGTTGCTTCCTTTCCTCCCGCAGGAGCAGCCAGCTGGGGCCGACAGCATGGTCTGGCGTCTGGAAACTCAGACTTCTTCCAGCCCCACACCCCACCTACACCAGCCCCAGCACAGAGCTTGATGTCTGCTGAGTGGCTTGCTTTCCATGGCTTCAACAGCCTCGGCCGCAGCAGGGTCAGAGCGCAGGCACTGACTTTTCAGACTCTCACTCTGCTAAGTGAACATTAGACCCACATTACATAGCCGCTGAAATTTGTGGCTGCCTCCTACAAGCCATTTGATAAGTTCTTATTGTCACCTCCCCCTGGTTTGCGTGCACCCTCAGGGACTGGGGCAGCTTGTTCACTCAGAGCCAGGGTGCTGCCAGGGGGTAGGAGTGGGGCATGGGTGGCACAGAGCCCTGGCTGGGAGCTGTGGCCCATCTGTGTTGCCTTGAGCATGACGCTTGCCCTTTCTGGTTTCACCTGGAAATGGCTCTCCAGAACGTGACTCAGCTTCCCTGTTCAGCCGGCCCCCTCACTGGTCCGTTCCTAGGCATAGTCCTGGGCTTTGGACAAAGGAGCCTCTTCTGAGGTCACTAAACCAGCCCCCAGCCCTAAACCTGCCCCAAACAATTTGTCATCCCAGGCCTCTTGGACCTCCTCCCAGAGCTTCCCAGTATCCCGACTCCAAAGCTATCCTTTCCTTCTCTGAGCTCTCACCTCGCCTTGTCCAGGTTCTGTCCAGACAGCGTCCTGGGCCATTGCACAGGTGGGTACTCCATGGGGCTCTGGCCTCCTTTACACTGGAACCCCCTGCACAGGCCTGGCACACAGTCGATCTCTATAGATGCCCATTCAGTCACTCACCAATTCAACAAACAGCTCTTTGGGCCAGCTTTGTACTCAGCTTCACACTGGGCCTGGGGATAGATATTAGAGGCTAATAAGGCACAGCCTTACCCTCAAAGAGCTCCCTGTCTGAGGAGAAGAAATACAATGACAAAGCAGGTGATTCGTGCCCTAATGGGGGAAGCCCTGGGAGCAGCGGGAGCACACAGCAGTGCTACCTAACCCTGGGGAAATGAGGGAAGGCTTCCTGGAATAGGTAACATCTAAACTGAGACCTAAAGAATGAGTAGGAGTTAACCAGATAGGGGAAGCAGTTCCAGAAAGAGGGAGCACCCAGGCAGAGTTCTGGAGTCTAGAGACAGCACATGGACTCTGGGAAACCTCAGGAGTCGGGCTGGCCTCTTCGCTTCTTCTGTTGACTGGCTTTTCCTCACCCCACTAAGAAAGAAGGGGAGATAGTTCTTTCCCATTGGGTGGGCTTCCCAGACCCCTATCCCTGCCAGAAGAGGTCCGATAACTCCCAGGTGGCTGGTCACTTACCACATGCACCTAACCTGCCTATCACTTCTCTGCTCTGAGCCTCAGCCTCGTCTGTCAAATGGGGTGGGGCACTTACGCCCCATGTCATTCTTACGAGAGACCTGGAGGAGAGAGGAGAAGCCCTAGCCCTTCCCCTGCCTAACTAGGGGTGC